TGGAAAAAAACTGATTATCTTTTATTTAAGTTGAAAGGGCCTAACGTACAGCTGCAACAATTCGAAAATGTCAACGGAGATGCAGCCGAAGGGTCAGTGTATAAAACGCTTCCTTTATTCAAGCGGGACAGTTTGCTTATTGACTAAATTTGTAGGATAACTTTTATATTAAGGAAGGGAATAAATCAAATTCAGAAAAAAAAACAACGCCAGACGATAAGATAGGCTCCATTCATACCTGACGATGAGAGCCATGGCGAACACGAGCGATCGTTGACCCCCAGACTTCTTCTGGCGTCGGGAGGTGTCAAAATGGGTGTATTTTGGATGCGGTTTTGGCTATTCTACCCACGAATGTGTTGTGCATTGAAAAGAAATTTGTTGGGAACACAATGATTTGAACTAACACAAAGTTCGTACAAAGATCTTCAATCAATCCAAAACTGCCCATGGTTTCGAATAAACTCCAAACATAGCCACTGACAAGCGAAATGACGATAAGTTGAAGTTTGCATTACAAAGAGTGGAGATTGACCGAACGGTTAGCAGTGGTGTCTACATGCCATGCTGAAGGCTTCCTTCAAGCAACGGCAGTGAATGAATGAGCACATTACCATTCGTTTTCTGTATTCTTTAATTCATATCTTTTCCTCTCCCAAAGAAATATAAATCATCAATCAGAATAGTAGATAATTCCCATAAATATTTATTTGTGAAACCTAATTTAACTAGCGTAATTTCCTGACTGGCTCAACTCGTTTTCGTATCTCCTTTTCACATTCTTTATTAACCAAAAGAAAAAACTCGTTGCATTCCATAGAGACCTCCAGCGGCTCGATTTCGCTGACGCCGTGGGAAGGTAGCAGACACCGACATCATCAACTATGGCCGACCCCAATCGCGATGCGTCACACGCCAGAGGAAGCGGCGTCAAGCCGCCGTGATTAATATGCACCTTATGCACGGAAGCAATCGCAAGCCATGGCTACCGATAGTCAAGAATGGCTGTAGTAGTGACGGTCGCAAAAAATTCTCCGGCGGGAGTTGGAATATAATGGAAAAAAGAGGAATCACATAATATTGGATAAAATTAAGACAATCCATCATTTTGATTGGTTTTTTTTACACTTATAAAATTTTCTCGATCCGTTTTCTATAGAGGAGGAGAGGTTTCTGTCACTGCAACAACTGAATGACTTACTCATTCCTTCTTTGCAATTCCTTGAGTCTGGATCGATCAGTGATCGCTGCTTCGTCCCGTCTTCTCGAGCCTACTGGAAATCACATGCTCTTCACAACAAAGGTAAATCGAATGCTGAAAACTCACACGATAGAGCTGATAGCCTTGAAAAATCTGATTGGGCCAGAGAATGTCGACCATTACTTATAGTGGAACTAGCAGCCAAGCTCAGATCACTTCCTGTGACTGCAGTAGTCAGATTTGATTGCGATGATGTCGTTTGAATAGACGATATGATGGCCAGATCCGAAATCGATGTTGCTACATCGCGCTTTGGAACAATCCTTTTCAGAAAGTCTTTGTCGTCCAGTGGGGATGGCGCTGGTACCTCAGTCTAAATCACCTTTCGAACTTGTAACTTCTAAATTCAAGAACGGTCCTGTTTTTGAAGCAATGATAACTTTGGAATTTGCATACTGCTATGTCTACCTATATCTACAAAACACTAATACTTTTGTTATGAGTTTCGTCGATCGTACAAAGTTCCTCTTCTTCCAAATCTTGAAAATTTTCGTAATTAAAGCCTTCAAAAACTCTTTCTGAAGTAAAAAAAAAACTTCGTTGCTGCTTTTAGAATGGCAAATAATATTGCAACTATAATTACAGCATCTGATGGTCCAAGCAGACTTCTCGTCTCCATCATCGATGGCTCGTCCAAGCTGGTAGAGACTGGAAGGGAATATATGAGCCTATGAGCTGTTTCCACCTGCTTGATTGAGAGAGTACAAACATACATAAAGGTAGTATCTGTGGTGAGGTTTCAACTTTTTTGGAAGGTGCAGCTTCAGGTCCTAATGATTGCGACTAAAAGTTATGATCAAAGTAAAGCTGATTATGATAATAAGTAGGAATTTGCACTAAGATATGTTCAAATAGCTAAAAGAGCTGAAATTATTCTATAAAGATATAAAACTAAAAAAGTTTCAAAAAACTCACCAATTTACTCTTCTCCAACCTCGTTTTCTGCATAAACACCATTTCGTACATTTCCAGTTGTTCCTTCAGCTCAATATTTTCCGCTTCCAGTTTACTGCTTCTTTCATTACACAAAGCGATCCCGTACTTAACCATGCACTTCGAGACAAGAGCGAAAGAATTGTGAGATTCTGATACGTACTTCTATAACCTTTATTTTCTCCGCGAAGTCACTCAGCTGTCTTGATCGCAACGTGTCTTTTTGTCGCAAACTTTCACACTCAAATTTGGCTCGATTCTGAAAAAAAAAAAAAGATGAAGAGATGAAACGACGCACCAGAACTGTGCGATCTTGAACAGACAATCAGTTACAACTACAAAACTTACTTCCTCTTCTTGCACTAAACCCAATTCTTCCCTCAAACGAGTTAGTGATTTTAACTGCTCTGAATTTGCTGATCGAGCAGTATCCAACTAAAATTTCGAGATGATGCGTTCAACCAATTTATATCAATGATACCGAAATCCTCACATTCTCAGTTAAGTTTTCTATTTTCGTGAATTGCGAATCTAGCTCAGTACGACATGCATTTAGCTCCTCTAACAACTGCGAGTTTGTCGTCCTTTCCTTCTTCAGGTCTTCTTGCAATACCGTTACATGACTGGAGAGTTGCGTGTTCTGGAAAAAATAAGGGTAAATAAGAACACTCTTTCGCTTAAATTGTAAAGTTTCCCAGACTAAAACAAGACAAGTTGGCGATACCTCATCGACTACCGCAACAGTTTGGTTACGAAGCCTTTGTTCTTTCAACTTAAATTCTTCCTCACAACGTTCTACTTCTCGGAATGTATCCACACTTCTTTTTTCTGCGTCGTGCAGCTGAATTGCTTTTACATAAACAAAAACTTTTTTTT